TTTTTGCTAATTCGAATGGACAGAGAAGACAAGGAAAAGGATGCAAGAGCAATAGAAGAGGAGGAGGAGAAAGACAAAGGCATAAGAGTATGGTGGAAGTATGAATAGAAGCCTCATTGTTGTGATGCTCTTTGTTTCAAAGAAAGGTCATCATGCTCTTTTTCTCATGTTCAAAGATTTCTTTGCATTCCTCTTTTTCCTTAGTTCCAAGAAGGGGAAGAAGATGCAAAGTGAAAATAAGCTCAATCACTTTTTAGATGGAATTACTTTTCCCCATCAATCTTAAATCATTTTTGTCCAAGGGCGTTATTCACCCCTTTTCAGGCTAGGTTTGAATGATGGCAGAGATGGCAATAGTTACAACCATATGTGGATTTCAGGGGTATTTTGGTTATCCATAGAATATTTTTAGTAATTTGGGTATTTCAAAAGCATTCCCATTGATTGATTAGGAATTTGAGATCAACAGCTACCAGCATTCATGTGTCAACCGGGCAATTTTGGTCACCTATGTCTTCAAAACAAGATCTTTTGTAAATTAAGGGGGATTCAGTATTACAAAATGATATATTTTCAAACCTGATGGTTTTGATTTGTCTTTGGAACCAGAATTCAAGTTGTACAATCCGATCATTAAATGCTCATTTAAGTTACCTTTAATTACAGCATTTAATGTATCATTAAATGTTATTTAAATCCAATAATTTGTTAAAAATCATAAACCAAAGGTACAAAGTTTTGAACCCAAGTCATTACTTGCAACACTAATTAATTAACCATTATACCAACCACAATTACTTGTTAAAACATGTTTTTTTATATTCAAAGTAATCTTCCTTGCCTTGGTAGATGTTTCCCAACAAGCTATAAATTTGATTATTAATATTTACATAATAATAAGATGGCAAGTTAAATTTATTTATTAAAAATTAAGGTATATATTAACTTGTATACATAATAAATATCATCTAAATCTATATATAATAAATATTAATTAATAAATGACTTCAAAAAATATTAACTAATAAATATTAGTATATATACACATACATTTTAGTTTTATTATTTTTCAATGGTTACTAATTATATCCCGATACTTTATATAAATCATTAAAGAATGGTTTTTTATGTTTAAATAAATTAGTTATAATCACATAAAACTCATTTTTATTATTATTCATATTTTTTGAATTTTCTAGTGTATCCATGTGTATCTTGATTTTTTGTCCATATCTATATGTTTCCAAAGCGTATCTTGATATATTTCTTAAAATTACTTTTCCAATACACTTTGCGATTTTTATACTTTGAACCTTGGATATGTTGAATATTGATGTCTATTCTCACTCCAGGGATTAGTGGTGAGAGTAGTTGTATTCATAAATAGTGAAACTATTTCGTTTCACAACTCAAGGTGGTAGTTGCTTATCAAACTTTCCCTAGCACTTATTAGTATGCCAATTGAATGAACCCAAAAAAAGGGGCATAGAACAATTGGAAGCAGAGTCTCCCAGCTCTCTTTGTTATAATTGGGTTTAATATATAATCCATACAGTTTGCAAATACTCATGCTTTTTGTTAATTATAATTGAGAGAAATGATGCAATCTATACTTGAATTGCATTCACTGATTTTGTTTTGAATTGTTGGATATTTTAGCAAAATTGGTCTCAAACTAAATATTCCATGCTTGTCTTCTTTAAGAGGAGCTAGGTTTTCAATATTTGCCTTAATTCCTTTTAACAAATGGCAAGTGGAAGATAAGAGGCTACTTCCCATCTCTACATCAAGTCAAAATAGCACAAGCAAGGAAGCAGAATTGTGAATGCCGGCAGAGGCAAAGCAGTTTCAACAACCACCAACTAATAACCCAATCAAATAAATGAGCAGTGAAGAATCTCTGTGAAATCTAAGACTTAAGCAAAGAGGAACTTGGATAAACAAAGCTACTAACATGGAGGACAAGCAGAAATCTCTCTTTCTCTGGCGAAAACAAAAGGTAAAGATACTTGCATAACCAAATAGGAGGGAGATAGACACCAGTGAGAATGGAGAGGTGGGTGGCAAAGTCGTTCGGTCAACATCTATCTAATTGGGTATGTATCGGATCTTGATGCCGGCAACGAGAGTGAGACATGATGAACTGCAGCACAGCCGAAACAAGCTCCCCAACCTCAACTGGTGCTGTGGTGTCAACGGTGAGCTTTGGTACATCACCAACATCATAATCGGAGCAGCCAGCGTACCCGTCCAGCAGCTTCTGCAAATCTTGCCACGTGGCAGGCTTGTGCCAGCCGGCAGCAACACTGGGACCCGCGCCTCTCCTCTCCAGGCGTCGGCGCCATTCATTCTCATCGTGTGGTCTGCACTCGATGATGATGACATGGGCTCCATACAAAGCTTCCAGTTCTAACAGGCGATCAAGGTGTGACCGGCGAGACAGCGGGGAATCGATGACAACGCTGAGCCCCAAGGCAAGTTGGGTGCCGGCAATTCGCCAGATGACGTCGTAGGAGAGGTCATTGAGCAGCTTTGCGATGGTGGAGGGGGATACGTGGGATTCCTGAATTACCGCAGTGCAATCTCGAACATCATCTTTGTCGATCAGAGGGCATCTCAGAGAAGCGGCTAGAGAGTGGGCCAGTGTGCTTTTCCCAGTGCCAGGATGACCCTTCATTGCAATGATCAGTTTGAGAGGACCCACAATTTCCATTTCTCTCTCTCTCTCTGAGTTGAACTTCAAACCGAAGAACTCACAGGCCAAGCCTTTGAAACCAACCCAGAGGAAAATGGATAAGCTTTCAGATGTGGCAGAAATGAGATTCGACAAATTAATATTGTCTGCATGAAAAAAAAGGGCAAAGAATTCTAGAAAAAGATCAAGACCACACAAACTGATTAACTAAAATACTTATTAGCAATAAATACATATATAAATAAATAACGGAGGAACTGCGATTTCGTTGGTGGTGAGGGGCCCAAATTTACTATAGAACTACCTATTGCTCAAGAGAATTAGAAGATATTCTATAGATGAAAAATTGGTGGGTGTGAATTAATTCACACCACGCCTTACGGTAAGGACCAATCCATACCACACCACAATCCATATTTGTTCTAAACTGTGAATAAACTGTGTAGACAGGATGAGTCCACACCTATAATGGTGTTTTCAGTAGTGTGGTGGTGTTCACACCACACTTTTTTTATTCCATGTATCTCATTTACATGGAATTAATGATATACACATTTAATCATAAATATGTAGTTTTTGCATTTTGTATGATAAATATTTTAAGAAGTGCATCAATGAATTAATATTAACCAAAAAGTATCATTTTTTTATAAAACAATAGTAAAATAATTAAAAATATATATTAAATATTTAAAAAATATTATTTCATTGAAGTTGACATTCCAAGTGGTGGCCTAAATGGGTTTGTTTGTGCTTTGCCTAACAAGTTCTGTGGACCTAAAAATAGTAACTTTCATATTCGAAAACCAGCTCTACTCTCTCTGCAAAGCAGTTGGTGGAGGTTAACAGAGAGAATCATCCTATTGGTGACCCAGCTTTGCTCTCATCTGAATGAGTATCATCCTATTACACCTAAATAAGTATTTTATTTCATCACTATAATTGATTCTTTGTTTTCTTTTATTTTTCCAATCTAAATTTTTATAGTTGAGATTATTGTCATATGACCAATTCTATTCACAAACAATAATAAGGTCAAGGACTATTTGAATCACGGGAAAATGTGATCAATGGAATTTTGTGCAAATTCATAGGTTTGGTTTTAAGAATTTTTTGCCTGTTTTTCATGGAATAAAAAGAAATCTAAAATTTGTAATAGAGTTAAATAATGAAAGAAAAGATGATCAAGATAATAGGAGAAGAATAAAATAGAGAGAGAGGAGAGAAAAAGACTACAGCGCAATACCCAGAGCTATAGAACACGCATGTTAGAGATTGTGACCGCCAACCCATCAACACAATACCCAGAAAGAAACAAAAAAACCAATAAAAAAAAATACAGGAAAGCAACGTAGAGGTTCACTGAAGAGAAAAAAAAAAGAGAGAGGATGTTGTTAAAGATCAAAAAAGGATGCAACATGGGTCTTAACTTCTGTGAAGAACTTGGACAGCATCAGTGGAGCACAGCAAAGGCAATGGAGCACACAGAGGCAATAACGGCGAAACACAGCAACAGAGGTTTGGCGGAGGAGCACGCAGAGCCGGTGGCAGTGGAGAACAACAGCAAAAGCACAGCAATAAAGGTTTGGCATAGGAGACCTTGCACAAGATATAGGGTTATAGATACTGTGCATGAAACACATTATCAAAGGCAACCTGTGGAAGAAATCCATCCACGAGAAGAAGCCGTTGCTGAGAAATTAGGGTGTGGATGGAACAGGTCCATAAGATAATATGGACCAGTCCCATCCATAGTGAACCGAACGCTACTTCCATCTCATGGCGTGGACCAAAATGGTCCATCCACGAGATGTAAACAATACCGAACAGCACCTTACTCGGAAATGTGGGACTTATCTCTTATGGTCCACCCAAAGAACTATTGTTCCAACACTACTCTCGCTCTATGTAATGTTATGAAATGACAAAGCTGAGGCGCCCCTTCATGGTTGGTTCATGCTTGAAAACGTATCCTCTTTGCGGTTTACACCATTTCATTTGAACACAATAATCGGAAGAATCAAGTCATGGTGGGTCTAATTGTCTAATTCAACCTAAACCGAATGAGTCATACCATATTAAGCTTAGCATGACTTCAGTCATGGCGGTGGAATAGATAACTAAAGGAGAGATCAAACAAGCCAGCAAAACAACCCTAGCCCATAACACATTCTACTCTTTGTATGGCTGATGAGTTCCCACAGTTCTAATTCAGGACAGAAAGTTGTTGAGTGTAATAAGCTGCATCCATGTAATGGAGGGCCGTAGTCAATTGAAAAATCAAGCAGTGAGTTCTTGATGCCCATTAATTGAAAACCTCTAGATTTAACTTGTTATGATGATTCAGCATATCATAGTTAGGTAGTACAGTGGAGAGTTGCACCAGAACACAGTAGACGAATTGATTCATTGTTTGAAAACATAAGGCTAGGACTGCTAAGCTCCACATATCAACCCACACAAATATGTACAGAGGAATGCATGGTTCAAGCAGAGAAGGCGAAGTTCTAAGATACAATCATCCAATCAGTTTGATTGGGGAATTACTTAATAAAAGAAAAGAAAAGATGGAAAGAATTTCCCTTTTTTTCTAGTAACGTTCAATGTTTGGCCTTTTTGCTCTGTGTTAGTGTACAAAAAAGATGGATGGCTGCCTATTACACTTAGCCACCCTTCCTACTATCTGTTAATTTCCATGGAGCTGCTTTGGCACAACAAAAACCACAGCCACCTCTTGCTTATCTTCCATCTACAACATTTACCCCTCCACCCAATTTTCTTACCGGGTCCCACTGCCACGATGTCGTTTATATGATCCACTTCTTGGGCCAGATGATCCTTGCCTGCCTGACCCATGTCCACTCAGACCTTGAACTTGTGGTGGTCTCTGACTCCCATGTATGGGTACAAATGGCAATGATGGTGACCTGATTTGGGCTGAGGAGCCACTCAAATGTCCACCATTGGATACTGGTTTTCTTGATTTGTGATAACGTGAAGGAGAATTATGGCGTACATCGTAACCTATGTCATCATTCATCAGCTGCCTCAGATAATTATTTGAATTGCTAATGTTTTGCCCAACTACTCTCCTCCCCCCTGACAATGCTGATTTGGAATCTTCACCGGCTGCTGAATTGTTGATCCCTGCAGCATTGACCATTGATGTCAATGAATCAACAGATTCCAAGGGTAGGGAGATCCCAGATAACCCGTCATAAGACAAAATGCAGGCAATTGCATATATTGATGCTCCAAGAGCTGGAGGTAGAACTTCACATGGATGTTTTACCTGCAAATTATAAGTGAGATTATAGCAGCAGTTGCCATCGTGATGCCAAAATATAGCTGCTTGAAAGTTTTGCAGATGCCATATGCATTCGAACATTATTAATTTATAAAACATACAACACAGTAAGAAAGAATGTCAAATATTTTAGAACATTTGCATCCCATTACCAGGCTTCTCTACTCTACAGTGTTCCATTGCAATAACTCTATGTTCAAACAGAATTAAGAATGCAAACCATAGTAACTGTAATCTCTATATAATACCTACATGCCTCATAAGTAAACCACAACTAATATGAACAAATGAAAAATGACTTAAGTTTCTATATTCTTGGGGAATCCATTATAGTAGAATACCCTATTAGCAAAGTTCAAAGTATCAATATATATCTCTGGGTCTCTGAAACGCTAAATACTTACAGTTTTTAAGTTTTATTTGTTTTTATATATTTCTATATGATGTGACAACATGTCTGACAAAATATCAAACAAAATAGTAAAAAAATATTAGGTTTTGAGCTTTAAAAACTCTAAATACACAAAATGTGTGTATCAAATGTGTCAATACTTTGAACCATGCCTACTAGTAGTTAAGCACATAAATTATAAATTATGCAAAACCAAACAGTTGTGTATATTGCACTGCATGCATGTGGGAATGCTAATGTACAAAATAATAGGCCAAGATTATAATTCTTCCTAAATTTAATAACAATTTTTTTTTTTTTTGTGGTTAGATTTCATAGAAAGCTGTAAAGACTAAAATGTTAAGTTAAAGAGTGGAATAAAGATCATTTCGGAAGAATTTAGGAGAGAAAACTAACTGCAATCTCTCAAATCGAGCTCTTGGATGTAAAGGAGTGTCAATGTGTGATAAGTGAGGAATACAAGGTTATGAGATGGTCCTTGAAAAGGGAGCTGGAAGAAATCCTATAGAGGGAAGAGATAAGTTGGAGAGAGAAATCAAGGCACCAATGGATTGAAAAGGGGGATGGTAATACTAAGTTTTTCCATGCACATGCAAATGACAGAAGAATAAAAAAAAAATTGTGGAGAAATTAGAAGTGAATGCAGAAGCTCTAGTTGATCAAGAAGAGATTGCTAGTTGTTTGTGACTCACTTGAAATCAGTTTCCAGGAGACGAGAATGTGGGGTCTACTTTGGAATGTTTTGATTGGCATAGGTTGAGCACGGAGTTGGTAAGAATGTTGGAAAAGGATTTTGATTTAGAGGAGATAAGGGAGACGATGTTCTCAATGGATAGATCAAAAGCCCCTAGACTAAATGGTTTTATTATGGCTTTTTGTCAGGATTGTTGGGAGATAATTAAAGTGGGCCTTTGAGCAGCTTTTGAGGAATTTGCTAATGAACACTTTATTGGTCTAAGGATTAATTCGACTTTCTTAGCCTTGATTTCCAAGAAGGGAGAAGCCACCCAACTAAGAGATTTCAGACTAATTAGCCTGATAACTAGCATTTATAAAATCTTGGCACTTTGATACTGAAGCTAGTCATTCCTGTCTTGATAAGCTACCCTCAAGCGGCATTCATTCAAGGTAGATAAATCACAGATCAGAAATTGATAGGTAATGAATGTGGAGGATTTTAGAAAAAGGGGAAAGAAAGGTAATTGTATGTAAATTGGGCTTGGAAAGCTTATGACATGGTTGATTGGTCTTTCCTTTTGATCGCTTTAAGAAACTTTGGGTTTGGGGAGAGGTGGTGTGGATGCATAGAAGGGTGTTTTAAAACGTGTTATTACTCCGTCTTACTTAATGGAGTGGTTAGAGAATTCTTCCAAGCTACTAGAGGTTTGAGGCAAGGGGACCCCCTCTCTCCCTTTTTATTTACCTTAGTGGCAGAGGTGTTTAGTTGCCTTATCTCTAGAGCTCATTGCTTGGGACTCATTAAGGGTTGGAGGGTTGGGGAGAGAATATAGTTGTTACACATTTACAAATTGCCGATAATACAATTATTTTTTGAGTGATGATCCTCAAAAGGCAAGCAATTTGAAGCAAGTGATAAAATTGTTTGAATTTGTCTCTAAATTGAAGATCAATTTGGAAAAGAGCTGCATAGTGGGGTTTAGCTTGGGGGAGGAGATGATTGGGGTAGCAAAGACCCTAGGCTGTCCTATTACTAGTTGCCCATTGAAATATCTAGGTATAACTTTAGGAGCCAACCCTCAGGAAGGAAGATTTTGGAGTCCAATCATTGAAAAATGTGCCAAGGAATTATCAGCTTGGAAGAGGAATTGTGTCTCTAGGGAGTTGTATTACCCTAATTAAGTCGACCTTAGCAAACCTTCCAGTTTTCTTCCTTTCAGTCTTTAATATGCCACATAGGGAGGTGCTAAAAGTAAACAAGATCATGAGGGAGTTCTTATGGGAGCTAGGAGAAGGAAGAAAAGATCACCTAGTGATATGGGATATAGTATGGAAAAGTAAGGAGCAAGGGGATTTGGGGATTGAAGATGGCCTTTAGAGAGAAGGGGTAGTAGGAAGTATTCATGGATGTTTACCTAAAGGTTGGGATGCTAGAGTGTCTCAGCAGTCTACTTTGAACTCTCTGTGGAAGGCTATTCGCAATATCCTTCCCCAATTCCTCAACCTCCTCAAGTATGACGTGTGTACTGGAGACTAAGTTCTTTTTTGGGAAGACCACCTGGATTGGTAACTCCATTCTTAAGGACCTTTTTCCAGCTTTGTATTCCATATCCCCTTTTTAAAAATGAACCTATTCAACGGTTTGTCTCTTTCTCCCAATCCCAGGGTTTTAGTTGGAATTTGGGGTTCAGAAGAGACCTGAGAGACTCTAAGCTTGATCAAGCTGCTTTGTTGCACAAAACCCTTGACAATGTTTGTTTGCAATTCTCTAAAACTGATGCTAGAATTTGGACTCCCAACTCTCGGGGGTCCTTTTCTTCTGCCTCTTTTTTCTTTTAGTTGTGTTCTATCCTTTTGTAAGGAAATCTGGTCTAAACCCGTTCCCCCTTAGGACAGAGCTCTTTGTTGGGAAGTTTCCCTTGGGAAATTAAACACCTTGGATAACTTACAAAAGAAAAGACTCAACCTCTGTATCTCCCCAAGTTGGTGTTTCCTTTACAAAGAAAATGGAGAGAGTTGTTACCATCTTCTAATATCTTGCCCTTTTGTTGTAAAACTTTGGGATAAGATCTTTTTGGGGTGCAGGCGGAGGATGCCTTTGCAAATTGGGGGGCTTTTCGACCCTACAACTTTCAGGTGGCCTAAGAAAAGAGGAAGAGTCTTATGGAGTTGTATTAGGGCTACTTTAGTTTGGAAAGTTTGGGAGGAAAGAAATAACAGAATATTTAATGATAAAGAAAGGGATGAGGATTCTGGGTGGGAATGTCTGCTGTTTAAGGATAATAATTAAGCTAAAGCTTTGGATCTATTTTCACTTTCTCCTTTGATGACATATGGAGAAACGGGGAACTAGTTGCTAAAGCTTCTTCGATTAAGGACAAATCTGTTATAGACTGGAAGCCCCCAGAAGAAAGTTTCAAAAACTAAACTTTGATGGCAGCAGCCTCAGTAATCCTGAGCCTTCTAGGATTGGGGGAGGAGTATTCAGAAATGCAGGGGACCAGATAGTGGCTTTATTCTCTGGTCCAATTGGAGTTGGGAATGTGGTTAGTACTTAGTGCAGAGATCCAAGCTGTTTTACAGGGGGCTCAAATCGCTAAAGAGATGAACCTCAGAAATCTGATCATAGAAGGAGACTCTAAAGTGGTAATTGGGTGGCTGAAAGAACCAGAGACAGCAGTGAGAAGATTCAAATGGCTAACTTCTAATTTAACAGTCAGAGTTCAGTGAGAGAGAAGACCGGCAAATGGGCTGGCAGACCTACTAGCTAAGCAAGGGGTGAATAGGGGTCAATTATTCTGGGCTACACATTAACTTATCTTGTTTTTTAAGGGACCATCTTGTGCCTATTGAGAAAACTAAATGCTGTATAAGTTGTAAATCTATCTTAAAATTTTTTAAAGAAATGCTTTATTGTTCATCGAAAGAAATAAAAAAGATAGACATTAAGGGAGAAATTTGCAGAACAGCCAAAAAATACCTCAAGAAATCATTAAAAGAAGAAACCAAAAGAAACAAACTCAGGTTGGAGTTCTAGAAGTGAAAACCCAATTCCAATGAATTGATGATGGCAAAAAAGTTGGAAATAAAAATAATCAAAACACAGCATCATCGGCAAATGAAGTGGAAGGTCAAATGTTCAAAGGATTCTGACATAAAGTATGATGTTCACGAATAAAAGAAGGCTTCTCCAGGTGTACAAGTTGAAAAGGAAGAAAACAGTGGTTGTCACCGATCAGTGCCACCATCTGCAATAATTTCCTCAAGGCAACATGAAGGGGGGGGGGGGGAGAGAGAGAGAGAGAGAGGGCATAAAGATACAATTGTAAACCATGAGGGGAAAGAAAAACAAGGAAAAACAGAGGAGAAACTGAGTAATGAAAAAAAAAATACTTAACCAAAAAAAAGGTAACAAAAACGATGCACTATATTTCCATTACTTTTAGCACTTTCTTTAATGCTGACAAGTAATACCTACATGGCTGACAGCTATGTTATTCCTTTAATTGCAACCCCAACAGACACAAGAGGCATACATGGCACAAATACACAAGTAATAGAAATAGGAAACTTACTTTGAACAGGATTGCTGCAGACAATCTTTCTCTCAAACAGTAAATTTGAGCAACATCAAGTGCTGTTGACTCAAACTCGAGCCACCGATCAACAACAACAGAAACGGTATTATCAGGGGAGGACATTATTCGCTCTCCTCGTTGTTCAGAAGAACCAATATGCATCTCCATTTCATCCTCATCACTCCCAAATGCAGACACATCTTCGTCGCTGTCCTCCTCATGGCCCTTTGGAGGAGCAACAACCATTTCTGTAGCAATTAACAGTAAAGGGTATGGTCCCACAATGGTACAGTTCCTTATATGCATACCTCCATCACCACGGGTTATCTCATCATATACAACCAGCTGATGTGTTTTAGATTTAGTTTTTGCTAGTTTCATAATTGAGGATTGATGGTGCAATCGAACTTTAGCACCACTAGCAGTTTCCACAAATGGTTTCCCACTTTTATATGGAAGCAATCTTCCAACCATTGGATATAAACCAGCAACAAGGACTGAATGAAGTATGCCTGGGTCCCGTGCATTTAAGCTACAACTTGACACATCTTCTGGGATAAGCCCACTCCGTATTAGTTCATTTTGAAGCTGCATACGCAGACATGATAACATATTCATAGTGTTTGAGGAGACAAAATACTGAGAACAAAACCGTGCCTCTTGACCCCTATACTTTGCACGTTGCCAGCACTCAAATGCTGCAATGACAATTAGCTGATCACTGTACCCACCATATAATGAGGCAAGCTCAGATTTTGCAGCTGCAGCCTTCTTCCTTTCATCTGGCACCATGGGAAGAATAAAAGGATCTCTATAGTCCGATGCACATGCTAGAGTCAAAGCTGGATCAAGACAGTTCATCAATATGGAAAAGAAAAGCATCTTGCTTGTTGACGGGTGCACTGGTAGCAGACCAAGTTTCTCCCCCAGTTCTGTAAGATCCTCATTCTGTGATAGAGCGCCGATATCCTGAAGAACAATGATGGCATTGCGTATGCTTTCAGAAACTGGAGGATCCAATGTCTTCTGCAAGAAATCTACTATTTTGCAATTTGGATCAAGCAACTTCACCTGACAGTTTAAAAATGAAAAAAAGCAGCACAATGCCTCAGCAACGTACAAATCCAAAGTAAGTTGATATTCTGAAATTTTAAATTGTGCAAAATTAAAACAATAAATCTGGCAATAAAGCACTTTATTTCAAGAAATTGAGAACATGTAGCTTTAGTTTATTTCAAACTCCATTGTCTAGAAACCTGATTGAATTGCATGATTGGATGGGTTCAACCAGGACCCATAGTTGGCAAATCATCTAGGCAGTTCTAGGCAAGGCCAAGTGAACTAATTGTAGGTTATTTCCCCAATTTTTATTAATCAGCATGCACTTCAACTGGAAAAAAAAAATAGTAATGCTCTTTACTGAGAACAACATTTGTTTTTCTCCCAAAGCATAGCAAATCATCATACCTAAAAGACAGTAACATTTTAAATCACTACTTTTAGTAATTCAAAGACAACACTTTGGCATAATAAGTACTTAAAAGCGCAGTTGTGTGTCCAAAAAGGATTAAATGCAAGATTGAAACTGAACTCTTGAATCAAGCAGGTTTATTGCAACTCTTGAATTTAGCAAATACCGAGAGAATCAGGGAATAACTAAGACTATAGTCATAAAGATACACCAAAGTGGCTGGCCACATCAATTATTTTATTTTGATAGTCAGCAGATTGAAGAGGATGTTGCTAATAGAATTTGAGTGGATAAAGTGGAGATGGATCTATAGTGTTGTTTGATCAGAGAATACCAATCAGATTAAGAGGAAGATACCACATGAAAATAGGTCAAGCTATTTTGTCCATAGTATTGGGCAGTGAAGAAGCAACAAACCCACAATCAAAAGGTTGTGAGGTGTTGTGAATCTTATTTATTGGTTGTGTTAGTATACTGTTAGTATGTTGTTTGGTTCTGTGTTAGTATGTGTTAGTATGTTGTCAGCCTAGTCTATCTAGGTGCTGACAGCTAGCTTTCTTTTTTCCTTGTTAGTTGTTTGTTATTAGGAACTGCCAGGGGCATTCTTGTAACTTCAGTTCTTATTACATTAACTGAATATAAATAAGAAGCTGGGAACCGCCAGCCCTGAGTTTGAGTCTCAATCGACTCTTTCTCTTCTCCTCTACATTCTCTTCTCCTCTTTTTTCTCTTCTCTCTCTCTCGTCTCTCTTAGTAAGGAACACATGAGGGATGAGTGACAAAGGTAGAAATCACAGAATTGGAAATGACTGTTTGCGGAGATCTAGGGCTCCTGCAAAATAAGATGAGGGCAAGTACACTAAGAAGTTTAGCACATATGCATGGAAGACCAACTACTGCACCAGTAGTTAGAAGTAATTTATTGCAAGCCAATGCTTCTAGAAGAGCTAGAGATGGACTGAAAAGAACAGTACTTAAGTAATGGTTAAAAACATTTATTATTTGCCAGAGTTTTAGCGTATGTTGTTCTGACAAAGGGGCACATCCACATTGAAAAAGACATACTAACCACTTCCTAGTCTTTTTTTCCCTTTCACAAGAATACTTTGCACTGTTAATTAGGGTTTTTCCCTATTTATAATAAATGTGATATGCCAAACCTCTCACCACTGTTATTTAAAGTGTGCAATTGTATGCATAGAGACATATCAGGCTATGGCTCTAATGCATTTAACCATGGTTGTAATAGCCATTCTGAAACCATATCATCTACATGATTTAAAAGAAAGCACAAAACATTCACTAAATCACACCTGTAAGCACAATTCCTCAATTGGCATCCGCTTGATTTCAGGAACTTGAAAATTTGGCAGAGACATACTTCGAGTCTTTGAATAAAGATGGTAACAGATTCCAGGTTGGCAGCGACCAGCACGTCCTTCTCGTTGCTTTGCACTAGCTTTTGAAATCCAAGATGACTGGAGTGTAGAAACATTATTATAAGGATCATAACTTTTTTCTTTCATCCGTCCACTGTCAATAACATAAACAACATCCTCTATTGTAACAGCAGTCTCTGCTATATTAGTAGAAAGAATAATCTTACGACTACCGGGAGGTGGTGCTCTAAAAACCTTCTTCTGCTCCACAGATGGAACCATAGAATGAAGAGATATGATCACAAATTTTGAGGAATCCTTGAAAAATGAGGAAGCTAGCAATCTTTCCCGTGCCTTATTTATATCATCCCACCCTGGAAGAAATACAAGAATAGCTCCTTCTTTTGAATCATTACATATCTTCTTTAACAACTTCTCTATAAGAACAGTATCAATATGTTCAGGATTGACAGTTGCCAGATATTTGTCAAGTAGCTGTTGTTCTTCTTCAGACTTGGAAAGGGCATTCTCCATGTGTTGTTTGATGGTATCAGCAACCTCGCCTTGATTTTCTCGTTGTGCCCACTCTAATGCATTTGTCCCATCCTTGGCACGTAGATGGCAGTCCGCACCGAATGAGAGGAGCATGCAAACAACACCAACTCTACCTTTACCAGCAAAAACCATCAATGGTGATGCTCCAGTCAGAGAATGCTGGTAATTAAAAATTCTTGGTGTTGTGTTAGAGGAAATTAGTTCTAGAAGGGGTTCAAACTCATCACTTGACCAGGCCAAGTCAATAGCTTCATCCATGGAAACTCTACAATCCTCTGTTAACTCATCGTCTTCAACTGTATCAGCTAATAAAGCAGAATCAAGATGGTTATCATCAGATGATTTCAGGATAGAAAGCACATCCTCCAGGTAGAAAATCTTGACCTAAAGCAGAACACTTGAGAAGTTATAACAACAACAAAACAATCAAGACAAATTAGTTTAGATATTTTACGCCTTATGGAAAGTGCTTACAGGATAAGTGAATCCAGGAACCCTGATGACCGGACAACCACCAAAATATTGTGAAAAACGTTCAGCATCAAGAGTAGCACTCATAAGTATCTGTTCAGTTGAAGAATTGACAAGGCTGGTAATCAGATTTAATCTAAATAGGGTGAAAAGCATGTACTGAACAAGAGAGGTAGAAAAAACACATAAGCTAAAAATATAGTTCAAAGACACTGACCAGATGTAGATGAGGATATAGTGGGAGCATGTCTCTGCGGATAAGCAACCAAAGTCAGGAGAGAATATATTTTGAAGTGTATTCTATGTAAAACAGATTAATTCTATTACACAATATAAGATGTTCTCAATTGCATTTTCCTTCATTAAAAGCTTCACATGTAATTTAGGTTCTTTTTACTCCAGAAAAAAGCAGTAAAGGTCGAATCAGAGAGAGTGATGGATAACAAAGGAAATTAGAAAACTGAAAATGGTTAACAAGAAAAAATAAATCCATAAGGTATTGTGTTTGCTCTGGAACTATTGTTACATTCTAGGAAGACTTATGGTGGGAAGACTCTCCACTTAAGGATGCCCAACTAGACTTGCACTCCATCTCCATTTGCAAAGGCAAGCATGTTTCCTCTTTTGCTTCTTCATCTTCTGAAATTTCTTGGAACCTTGGTTTGAGAAAAGACCTGTGAGATTTCAAGGTCCCATCCACCTTGGCTTCCTAATCCTTTGGAACTTCTCTCCTACTCCACTTTGTCCAGTGCCCTTACATCCCCCTTTTAACCCATCATTTCCAGCTAAAGAAATTCTGAGTAAATTGGCAGCACTCATGGTGAGAGCTTTCTTCTGGGAAGTGCATCATCATAAACTAATACCTATGATGTCATTCGGAGGAGAAAACCAATTTGGTGTTTTATCCCTTCATCTCTGCATTCTCTATTTAGTCTGTGGTTCCATCTACTAATCTCCTTCTGCTTTATGGCTGGATTTTGGGAATGGTTCTTTTCTTCTGGGAAGTGTATCATATCTATGACATCATTTGGAGGAGAAAACCAAATTCGTGCTTATCCCCTCATATCTGTATTCTCTATTTAGACTGTCATTCCATCCACTAATCTCCTGCCCCTTTGTGGCTGGATTTCGGGAATGGTTCTTTGCTCTCTTTGGATGCAAGTAGCTCCCTCCCTCTGGTGTGACATATTTGTTCAATGCTTCCTTTCTTAATTCACCAGAAAAGGAGAAAGGCCCTCTGGAGAAGACAAAAAGCAACCATTTTGGGAAGAAAGGAACTATATAATCTTCAAAGACAAGCATAATATAAGTGACGAGCTACTTGAAGGAACAGCAAGAAGGGTGATATATTGGGTCAAAACCATGAAGACATTTTATCCTTTCTAACTGGAAGAAATTAGGAGAATGGTTTTGGGTGGCTGGATCTTCTAATGCTAGGCTAAAGATATACCATCCTTGGAAGCCACTACACCCAAACTTCGTAAAGTTGAACTTTGATGGGGGCAGTGTATGCAACCCTGGCCCATAGCATTGGAGACACTCTTAGAGAAGAAAGAGGATTCATATAAGCTTTGTTTTCAGGCCCCGTTAGCCATGACAACTCAACAAAAGCATAGGCTTACTCCACGGGATAGAGCTGGTGGGATCCCTTGGAATTGACAGTTGGTGGAAGGTGACTCTAAAGTGGTGCTGGATTCGCTTTGAAATAAGAGCTTGGTTACTTGACAGTTCAAAACAATTATAAGGGAAGTAAAAGCTTAGGGAAAGGACATTTACATTATCAAGGGTTTTCAGTGAGTGCCCAAGAATACCAACACAATGGTACACTTTAGCAAAGCAAGGGGTGAATGGACAGCAACTCTATTAGAATACAGATGGGCTTCTTAATGTAAATACAGTGTTCAGAGAACTGGACTGGACATAGAACCGGAAAAGGTAGAGGTTCATAGTTTAATGGTTCAACCATGGTCTAAGCGGATGTTGAACTGTGATGATGTAATATATATACATATATACTGCAGGTCACAGAAATACTATATATTTTACAAAATATTATCAAACTTGAACATGATGATAGATGGCAAGTTTTTTAATTTTTAAAGCAAATTACCAGGGTTCAAGCCTCTCAACACACATTTTCTTTAAGATATGTATGTGTAATTGTATTAAAACAATATATACATTAAAGAGGTATAAATGAGCACAAGTAAACATGTGGATTAATGGTAACGAGACAACACACACAAAATAAAGGTCATGGGTTCAAGTCTTACCATTAGCATTTTATAAGTTCGAATCATTTAGTCACTAGGCAGTTTTATAAAACCAGACCAGTTCACCAGTCAGTTAAACTGGCTGGTGATCCAGTTTTCACCAGTTTTTCATGAGTTGCGATTTTTAGAATTTTAGTGTATGATGGAACCAGCCAGGGGCCTCAGTCACAGTTTAACTGGTCCGACCGGCCAGTAATTAAGAAAGTTTTGTTGATTGGGTAAGTGTTGCTGGCCTGCATTGAGTGCTAGGCATTGATTGTATCTATTCATTTTTTCCTCACAACAAATAAATTTGATTATGTTATCCATCAAATAAAAAAAGGCTAATGAGAAAGTCTTGGGAGTTCTCATACTGGTCAGCAGGTGTTTATTCTTCTTTTTTAATTATTCTTGGCTGTAGCACCAAGAAACATTGTTTGTGATGACTGAAGTTTAAGGATGAGAGTGAAGATCGTGTGGTATGTCGACTGCTAGGGTTTGTACCATGAGAACTCTACCCAATCATGAAGTGTATACGAGGGGAAGTAGCCTTGGCAGATGGAGAATTATCATTCCAGGTAATTAGTTAAACCTCTAAGAAGATTTGGTGGGAGTACTTTTCTGTGTAAAAAGGTTGGCTCGCTCTTCTTGATCATATTCTTTGAACCTGTGGACCTCAGATGACATATTTTTGACAAGCATCAGGAAAAGTGAAATATTGCCAGTGTGTTGCATATACACATGGCCTATTACACAACTAGGAGGGTCTGTATGGACTGTTATTCTGTTAATCCATTGGCTGGTGCCATGTGGCCTGTGACAGACGTGAATCTGAATGAACTAGGGGTAGACAGTTTCTTTCATGTGTTTTTTGAGTAGGCTGAAGTGCTATTAAAAGGTGTCTGCTGTTTTTCTCATGGCAACTGAGGATTCAGCTGCATCAAGTGTTACCTCCATTCACTCAATTTTAGAAACAGTATGCAGAAGATGAATTTCCACATTTTTTTGAAAAGGTAAGATAAATTTATTAGATCAAACTCATAAAAGTACAAAACAGAACCTGCCAACAACCAGGGAGACTTGAGGGACCCCCATTATAAGCACCAAATTGACTGATTTCTCAGTAAATGAGTTACATTTGTGTCTGAATTCTGGGGTGACTGAAATCCAAGAGAGCAGTTTACCAACAGCTGTCTGAACTATATCCTCGGGTCCTCTCACTCTGATTAAAAATTCTGTTATTTCTCTCAGACCAAATGGCCCAAATCAAAGCTGCCGGGATAGAAATCCAGACCAATTTCCCTCTTATTGTCAATTTACTGAGCTTCTAGCTACATAACAACTCCTTAGCCGATTTAGGCATGACCCAACATATCCCCCCAGTCTTCAAGAAGTAATACCACACCTGGGCAGCAAACGGGCAATGAATGCAGATATGATCCGTAGACTCCAGATGATCATCGCAAATGGCACAAGACTTATCTGGGATCTGCAATTCTCTTCTTTCAAGATTGGTTCTGGACAGACATTTGTCTAAGGCCACTGTCCAGACAAGAAAATTAACATTAGATGGGTAAACTGAATTCCAAATCTGCTTAGGAGGGAAATCCTCCACTACCACTCTACTACAGAGTCTACTGGCCATTGATTTTACTGAGAAAACACCATCTTTGGTCCAGACCCAACTCCACTGATCATCCTAATTGTGGTCAATGATTTGAACCAGTAGAATCTCCAACAGTCTTGTAGCTTCTTGAATTTCCCAATCAAAAAGACCTCTTCTGAACTGGGGAACCCAAAGCACCTCATTGACCAAAACTGTGTAGACTTCAGCAACCGAAGCATTCAGGTTGGAGGCACATTGGAAGATAAGAGGAACCTCATTAGCCAAGGAATGACTCAAACACCAATGATCTTTCCAGAATTTGATCCTATCCCCTTTACCAACATTGAGGCTGATTCCCCCATCAAACAAGGGGAAAACCTTCATGATACTTTTCTATAATGAATAACCCCAGTTAGGTGGGGGGGTGGGGGGGTTGTTTAGTTCTCCGGTTACCCCATTCAACCCCAAATTTAGATGCAGTTAAGCTTCTCCACCAAGCTCCCCTTTCGGTGGCAAATCTCCAGATCCATTTGCAAAGCAATGCCGAATTTGTCACCTTAATTCTTCTCAAACCTAGGCCTCCTTGCTCCTAGGGAAGTAGATTTGGTTCCAGTTCACAAGGTGGGTTTTCCTTTCTTCCTCCCAACCCCTCCACAAAATGTTTTTTTGGAGAGTCTCAATTTTCCTAGCCACTTTATCTGAGATAGGAAAAGGAGAAAGAAAATAGGTTGGAAAGGGTACTTTTTAGAAGGGTGACTCTACCACCAAAGGAAAGGTACTTTGCCTTCCATGAGGACAATTTCCTTTCCAATCTTTCAATTATTAGATCCCAAATGGCAGAGGAGGAGCATTTCACCCCCAATGGAAGGCCGAGATACTTCACCGGAAGCTGGTCCACCTGACTAGCCAACATATTAGCACATTCTTCCAGGTTAGGGACTTCACCAACTGGAATAATTTGACTTTTATTAAAGTTGACTTTCAAACGTGTGACAACTTCAAACCAGCTAAGGATCTCAAGAAGCTTTTCCAACCGTTCAAGAGAAGCATCAATACAGCATAAATTATCATCTACAAACTGAAGAATATTCACTTTTTCACCCTCTAGGGAGATTGCAAACCCTTCTCACAACCCTAATCAACAGCCCACTGACTAAAGAGAGTTAGAATTTCAGCAATACAAATAAAGAGAAGGGAAGATAGGGGGTCTCTCTGCCTTAACCCTCTAGAACTCTCAAAGAAGCCTACAAATTGTCCATTGATCAGAATGGAAAATTTGGGAGAGAATGCACAAACTTTCATCCAATTTCTCCACTTTTGGCCAAAATTCATTTTTTCCAGAATTTCCACATTTATATTACTTGTCTTGATGGACTTAAATACTTGAGGGGTCCAAAGAAGAGAATTTTTTCATGGAGGGAGAGGGAATTTAGTATACTTGGATGGGGATATTGCTCAACCCAAGTGGAATCAAGATAACTACATGATCATGTCATGGCTTCTCTCTACTATCCAACAAACTTTGAGGAAGAATTTTATATCAGTAGACATTGCAAGGAGGATTTGGGAACAAGATAAGGCTATGTGTGTTGAACAGATATATCATGCTAGAAAACCTCTCTGCGTACTTTTCAGCCCTAGCATCAATGTGAAAGGAACTTGATCATTACCAGTCAATATATTGGAAATGTGAAGAGGATACTAAAGCCAATTGCGCATTTCTATCACAATAAAGAGTCCTGCCTTTTCTAGCTGAAGTAACCCCTCCTATAAGGGTTCGATTTTTTTTTTTTTGGGTATGGAGCTGCCCACTATACAGGAGGTCTATGCTCTTATACAGTCAGAGATAAGCAGGAAGATTGCAATGAATCCTATACAAGAAGAGTAGACTGCCTTATTTGCAAAAGGAGGCAGTAGTTGAATTAAGATTGGAGATATGAATAAGAAGACATACAGAGTGGAGAAAACCAAATCTCACAAGGAACAACCAATTTTACCAAAGACAGATTAGAGAAACATGGGAAGGAGTTTATTCAGATAAGACAATAGTTTAGAATATAATAGCATAGGATTTAAGAAAAAAACCATATAATTTGCACTATACCCTGTTCTGTATATTTTCTTTTGATCATTAACAGATCAGATAAGAGGCAGAAAACACAGTAGCAGAAAGACAGCAATTGTTGAAGATTCTGATCATACATACAGTTTCTAAACGACATAACTAATACAGGATCCAATGACTAATGAACAGAAAATTTTCTTATAAATAAAATCTGAAGAGACAAACACGGGAGTCTCCTTGTCCCCACACCAGATTGCCCTGTGGGAGATACCTGGTCATACATATGGTTCCCCAAAAATATAACTATAATCAGATACCAACATATACTCGCTAAACAAAGAATCTTAACTTACATTAGTGTAAAGATATAGAACCCAAATTGATATATGCAATGGAGTTCTCACCTAAAAGGTCTGTTTAATTAAATTTGGAATTAAATATTACTCAATAATTGCAACATTTTCAATACATCTGCATGGGTTGCCCCCTTACATAAAAACTACCAAAGATATTTATTGGTCTTGTTCAAGTAAGACACCAAATAATTGAATGGATAGTTTTATATGCAAATACCTGAGAATTGCTAAGATGAAGTCAGAGAACCGATCCCTTTCATGAATTTCATCCTACAAAAGTTACAATTGAATGAGTAAAGCAATAAACAGTTCCAATGTACAATCAAACAAATATAGTATCTTCCTAATTACACACCAAGAAAGTTAAATAAGAGCACAACATATCTCATTGAAAAGTTGCAACTTGGTTTGGTTTCCTTTGAGAAACCACTCCACAGGTGGACTCTCCTATAGGAACACTAGACCAATATAATCTGACACTTTCATTCATCATAGCATGCAGAGCTGTTTACAAAGAATGCTAAACCAATCAAACTGACCAAACCGACCCAACTCAACCCAATATGTTCGGTTTATTGATGCTGTCGGTCAGTTTTGAATTGATAAAATGTACAACCCCACCAGTCGGGTCAGCTTCGGTTTATACATTTATAAACTGAAAATAACCCAACTGACAGAATATATGCTAATATTTGTTTTCTCATACAAATTGTAAAATTTGTCACACATTATGATTTACGAGGCCAGTTCAATCGACTGTTAGCTTTCTTCTCTAACTCTTACCCCATTTGGCCTTTTACCCTTTACAGCTTCTATTCGGTAATTTTCATTTCTCATCACTCTACGTACCTCTGTTTCCAATGTAAAAGGAAAATACATTTATAATATCCACTTCATTTACCTCACCAAACTCAGGTTTTTAATTTGAGGGGAAGATTTTGCCAATCCCCACCTATTATTCTAGTGACATCACTTTACCTGGGCCTTCACAGAATAGGAGAATGGGTTGCATTGTCTTTATAGAGAAAAAACACTAGGGATGAGAATGAAGACAAAGGTGATTGTTTCCAACTGGATGACAAAGGAGTTCATTTCTTGAAGTAGGCTTCAGATTTGAAAAGGACGAAGCATTTCATCACTCTAAGGAGCGGAAGAGATTCACCTATGCTCTTGTAGAGCTGCAGCTGCTCATTTCTGTTATGTTCACTTTTTTTGAGACATTTCTGTTGCTTTTCATCGATTTACTGAGATATAGGTATTGGAAGAATCTTCTTTCTCAACCTCTGCAACTGAACTGGAGAAATCCCCTTCACTCTTCTTATCCCTCCCATCTCTTTGTCATAATGCTGAGGTAACTAATTTGCCTATTCACAACAAAAGCCCCCTTTCACCTCCATCCTCCAACTCAAGTTACATGAGATCAGGATGAACTACTACAATCATTGTTACCATCAACCTATTTTGTAATAATATTAGTTTTGAAGACTTACTTTTACTATCAGTCTATCTTTAAATAATACTAGTTTTGTAGATGCAAGCCTTCAATGAAATGCAGAGCGTCATATTCATGGAGGATAGTGGGTTTGATTTTGTGAAGGGGTTTGACACTTGACAAGGATGATGGTATGGTCATCCGACCAAACCGAGAACTCATGTTGAGTTTGGATTTCAAGTTTTCTCGGTTGGTTTTGAGTGGTAAAGATGTCAATCCGAGCAAGTCAATTTGGTTGAATAAATTGTATAAAACCAAACGGAACCAACCCGTGTACAGCCCTAATAGCATGACCCAAATATCATCAGAAAGAATGTTCAAAGAACTGGACCGGGGCCAAAGCATGATGATGTGGCATATATGTATATATACTACAGATCATATAAATACTATACATAATATATTTTACAACTTTATGGTGGATGGATGGCAAATTTCTTAATTTATAAAGCAAATGACTAGGGTTCAAGTCTCTTAATTTACATTTTCTTTATCTGAAAATACAGGGAAACAATGAAAAGATTTAGATGGTTGATTAGAGACATGACTGTTAGAGTAAAATGGATAAGGAGATCAGCTCACAGGTTGCCTGATTATTTTGCTAAGCGCGGGGTGTATAAGTCATAGTTGTTTGGGCTCAGTTATAACTCTGTTTTTGTAATGGAGGCTGCATTCCGCACCTCTGTATGAATGTTCTCTTTCTAATTTTCCTGCTTCTTAATAAAAAGTTATTATTTATCAAAAAATATCAAAGATTGTATCTTCACCTAGTAAATTACTTTAGGTTGCATTTGTTTGCAATGAAAATTTGAACTGGATACAGATTTTGCACCTGGATCAGTTTTGAATCCATTTGTTTGTGACTATGATTTGCACTCTTGCATGATGCAAAATTCGCACTTTTTGTCTCATTTGCATCCATTAGCAGTGCAAATTTTGCATCTGAAAAATTGATATAAAATTTATACCACTTCCTCCTACCTTAATTCTCTCTCAAGAAATCATTCGATTAAGATCCATCATTCAAAAATTGACTATGATTTGCACGCTCATTCACAGATTAAGTGTAGATTGAGTCCAAAAGAACAAAAGAGACAGATCTGTGATCAATGATTTGGGGTTACCTTCATCAGTGGTCAGTGATGATGACATCAGAAGTCAGCCATAATTGCAATGATGTGAAACCGGGAATTGCATGGGCTCCCTACAGAGCACACTCCACAGCACATCCCAACCATGCATTCGGAACATCTCCCCATGACATGTAAAGCATATGTTCCCAATGCACACTAAGATGTCCATGTGGGGTGCGCTCTGTGGGCAGCTGATCTGAACTTGTGAAACAGGCCAAAATAATGCTCTGATGCCAATTTGTGATTTGTGGGTATTATAATATGATGTTAAGAAGAAGAAAGAAAGAAAGAAAGAAAGAAAGAAAGAATAGAAAAATAAAAAGTAGAAGAAAAAAATGATGTAATAATGACCTGTCAAAGTTCAAGATGTGGCCCTCTAACTTGTATTTATTTTACAACAAATACATTACAATTAACCCCTTAATTAGCCAAATGACTATACCCTTGCATGGAAAACATGATCTCAACAGGGTTGTACCCAACTCTTGAATAAAAGAATGCATATGTGTAACCATGCAACATAGAAGCTTGTGGATGTGCTAGTTTCAGTTAGTTTTTGGATATGCAGTATCAGAACATCCAAACAGCCACCCAAACATCTTCTACGATATGAAGGGCAACAAAAGAACCACAGAGAAAGAAGAAACATTATGAGAATAAATAAAATTAAAATCAAAGTACAAGATCCTAAATTTCCAAAGGCTACAGATATTCACAAATTTTATTGTTAAAACTATGATTAAATCATCAAATTTATGCATGCACTAGATTATTACCACAATGATGTGTGTTACTTCAAAATTATCTCCTTTCAAGAATCTATTTGAAGGCTGTGTCTTTGAAGAAACAGCTCTTTTTCCAACCAGCACCTTCAGAAGAACCCCATTTGTGCAAAACATAATGGATGAATGCTTCCCACCCTTAGTCTCCAGTCGTATCTAATGATGGAACAAACAAATCAACTTTACAAACTAAAATAGATTAAAACACTACAACGAAATGGAAGAAAAACAGTGTCCAAAATAAAATTCATCATATGTAAGATTTTCTAAGAAAAAAAAATGCTATAGAACATAGGTCACAAGTTTTATGTGGTAACAATGCACCAACATGCATGTTGGAGTCGGAGAATTATACAAGGTATCTTTAAATGCTCAGAGAATTGTAACTGTTTTTTTTTTCTCGCTGCATTTGTAATCTTATGATTTTCCTATATTTGATTATTGTAATCCCTCCCCAAACTTAACCCAACATGGTAAAGTAGATAGTTTCAGTAAGCAAAAAAAAGAATTTAATGCCTCCTGCATAAAAAATCATCATCTTTAAAGTAAGCAGTGTTCCATTGGAAGATAAAACAATAGGTATGCTAATATCAATGTATAATAAGCATTACCTTGTATCCAACTGTCTCTCCAACTTTTTCACCCCTTTCAGAAGATATTCTCTCAGCAACTATGTAACACAGGTTATCCCCAAACTAGTAAGATGAAGTAACTTTGAAAGACGGGCTAGAAGAAAATAAAAAAATAAGAATTACACATCATGTTCATTAGGTACCTGATGTTGCTGATATACGTCGAGGTTGCGTACACACAATTTTACATGCCTCACCCTTTCTCCACATATGATCCAAAAGAAATTGTGGAACCTGAATTGGCAATAAAGAAAACAAGTCAATACCAAGTACAAACTTCCACTAGAAAAAATTTGTTAATCAAACTAATATCAAAACCAACTTCATGAAGCATCACAACTGTGTGCCTATAAACTCTTTGGTGAATAAGTCATCACCTCCTGGTGGCTAGTGCAACTTCTGTGCTTTCAATGTTTTGAAGGAATGGAGAATCAGAAAGGAAGAAGAGGAGAATGAAAGAAGTGGAGAAAACTCAGATGTGAAATGAAGTTGATAAAAGAAAGGTAGGAAATAGGGGAGTAGATATAAGATTAGGGAGAAGGGATAGGAAAAGAAGAAAGGTAATGAAGATGGTAAATTGCAATGTCAGATGGCTAGGGACTGCAAGGAAGATAAATATTTTGGGTATTCTAGGTAAGGTCAATTTAGACATAATTCTTTTGTAGGAGTTCAAATTATTAGAGGTTAATGCTAGATGGGTAAGAAGTATCTGCACAAACAAAAAACATCCAATTGGCTTAGCACAAACTTTGGAAACCTCAAGTGGAACCATTTTAATGTGGAAATCTGAATTGTTTGACTACATGGAGGAATTGGTCGGATGGAACTTATTATCAGTAAATTTGAGGAATGTGACAAGTTGAGTGGGTAATGAGTAATAGCAAGCACTCGGGTCAAAACAACATAGAGAACAAACAGAGGTTTGGGAAGAAATTTATGCTATGGAAAGGACCTTGATGTTTGGGAGGTAATTTCAATGTTTTTTTGATAGATAACCAATTTTCTCATAAACCTAATACTCCCAATCTAGCTCATCATCATTTAAGCCTTGCCCCATCTACATGGGGTTGGCTACATGAATCCTGTTTGCCATTCTGTTCCATATGGTGCCATATCCATTGCTAAATTATGGGCACTTAAATCATTTCTTATTACTTTCACCTTTCCAGTTGTACTTGTAGCCCCTCCAACTTGTAAGAGATCACCTTTTCTAGCAGGTGGCGTAGATAGTCCTCTATGCTAATGCTGCTAAGGGTTCTGCTCTCACTGAATTACCTTGCTCAATTGGATCTGAAAATAAGGCATTAATGTTGCCTCCCTCATCCCTAATAACCCCTCAAATACCTGAAGGAGCAGGGTTACCCATACTGCTACTATCAAAGTTCAGCTTCTTCCAACAAGTCATTGGGAGAGACCAGACCTCTAGAAGTTTTTATTTCTTAGAAGAAGATCGTGCAACTGCCCCCCAATTCCAGATAATATCCTCCACTCCAAAGTCTAAAAATAGTTTCAAAGTTCTTACCCAATGAGCAACTTTAAGAGTAATACAATCATTTAGCACATCCAAGCTTCTTTCCTTTCCCACAAAGATTCTTGCATTTCTTTCTTCCAACACTATCCAACAAACCGCTGCCCTTGTACATCTCCATAATATTCTGCCTCTTTTTTTTGTACTACTCAAAGCAGAGGGGCTAAACTCCATCCAAACTGACAGGAGGGTTCCACCTACAACCAAAGAGAAAAAAAAAAAAAAAAATAAGACTTTCCCAAATGCAACAAAGAGACAAGAGATTAAGAGGTGGAAAACAGTTTCACTACTCAACTTACACAGAAGCACCAGTTTGAGGATAAGGCCCAATTTGGTCTTTTATTTTGCAACAGATCACAAGTATTTATGCACCCATGGAACACTTCACAGCAAAAAGTACTGACCTTTGAAGGAATAGGAATGCACCAGATTTCTTTTACAGGGAAAGTGGGGGGGAGGAAGTAGAAATGGAGTTAAATGGAGGTTTACAAGAAAACTGCCCAATAGAGAAAAGGGACCACCACCAAGCATCCCTCCCATCATTAACAAAAGTTACTGATTCGATAACACTCGACAAGTTAGACACCAAATGGAATTCAGACTCTCTTAGATATCTGGTGAGCCCCAAATTCCAATTCAACCCAAAAGAGGAGTGGTGAAGATCAGTAAGTCAGCCATAAGTTTTCCTTTGAAATTGGAGAGGACATAAAGGGAGGGAAAGATGTCTTTCAAAGGGAACTCACAAGCCCACACACCCTCCCAAAATCTAATTTTATTACCGGAAGTCAGATCACACCTTACATGGTTGAGGAAAGATGGAAGAATGCCATGAATTGCTTTCCAAGGTGTAGCCAGAGTTGCCCTTTGCAGACAGTCCACATCCCAGCCATTTATTGACACGCCATTAATATAGCCACCACTCTATGCCATAACCTCTCACATTCCACAGGGAAACATCAAAGCCATTTGCTTAGCAGTGCCTGATTTTTCAGTCTCACATTGTCAATCCCCAACCCTCCTTCCTTTTGATTAATCACCATTTTCCACCTCACCAAACGATCATTCTTCCTGTCCCCCAATTCCCAGTTCCCAAAGGAAGTCTCTCATAAGCTTCTTTATTTTTTTCACTATTACCTGGGGCATCTTGAAGACTGACATAAAGTAAATCGGGAGATTAGCTACAGTGGATTTGATCAAAGTAAGTCTCCCGCCCAAAGAAATATAGTTCCTCTTACATCCAGCCAGTCTCTTCTCAATTCTCTCTACCACTAGACTCCAAATGCTAGCCAGCCTAGAGTCATCTCCTAGAGGTAAACCTAAGTACCTTAAAGACAATCTCCACTCTCACATCCCAATGTTTCAACCAAAGATCTAAGCTCTTCACTTTCAATGTTAACCCCAACCAGTAAGTTTGTGATACAATTTACACCCAGGTTAGACATTCTCTCAGAAAGATTGACCACCAATTTCAAGTTAGCTACACCTTCTCCATTCTCCCCATCGCAAAAGATCAAAATATCATCTGCACACTGAAGGTGAGTGACTAGAACATTGTCCGTTCCCACCAACCACCCCTTGAATAGAGTACAAACAGTTAGCCCTATATAACAACTTACTAAGGAGTAAGGACATCAACCACCAATGTAAAAATAAATGGGGAAGGAGGATCCCCTTGAATAGAGTACAAACAGTTAGCCCTATATAACAACTTACTAAATCATATTCTTTTTCAAAATCCAACTTGATTGCAACCCCCTTTTTCCTTGATCTCTTCTAAGCCTCAACCCATTCATTTGTAATTAATACTTGATCCACAATCCATCTCTCTTGAATAAAGGCACCTTGAGATTGGAAGATAAGAGAGGGGAGCACCTTCTTGATTCTTAATGAGACCACCTTAGCTATCAACTTGTAAATGCTAGCAACCAAACTGATTAGCCTGAAATCTTTTGGTGAAGTAGTCGAACAAGACTACAATCTACCCTGGGTTTTAATGAGAAAAAACAAATAAAGATTGAAGAGAAAAAGAACTCAAAGAGAGGATTTAGAAAATAGAGAGTAACTTGCAATAGCCGCCCCACTCTTATAATTTATATTAGTATTCGAATAACTGTAAAAGGGCTCAATTACCCTTATTGCTTACAAAAAAGCTAATAACATAAGGCTGAAATAAACTATCAACTAACATAACTAACTATCTATTACTGTCATACGAACATAGTGGGGTCCACATCAGTGTTCTCTACACTCCCCCTCAAGTTGGGAATAGATATTTGTCATTCCCAACTTGCATAAGTCTACCTCTTAACTTCTTCCTTGAAACAACCTTGGTGAGAAGATCTACAAGCTGCATGTCGGAGGTGATGTAGGGAAGGCATACTTCTTGAGATGTAACCCTTTCTCTGATAAAGTGTCGGTCCACTTCAATATACTTAGTTCTGTCGTGTTGTACTGAATTATGAGCTATATTAATGGCAGCCTAATTATCACAGTACAGCATTAAGGGCATCCCATAAGCAATACCCAACTCCTCAAATAGTGATCTCAACCATAGAATTTCAGCCACACCATTTACCATGGACCTATATTCAACTTTAGCACTGGAATGAGAAACAACACTTTGTTTCTTACTCCTCCAAGAGATAAGATTACCTCCTACAAAAGCACAATATCCAAAGGTAGGTCTTTTATCATCAGCACACCCAACCCAATCAACATCTGTGTAAACTTCTATCTTCATGTGATCATTATTTTTTAATAAAACACCTCTGCCTAGGCACCTCTTCAAATATGCAAATATCCTCTCAACTACAAGTAGGTGAATAGTTCTAGGAGAGTGCATATACTGACTAACAACACTGACTGCATAACTAATGTTCGGTGGTGTGAGACAAAGATAGAGAAGTTTTCCAACTAACCGTTAGAACATAGCTTTTATCTTCAAGAGGCTCTCCACCATCTGCACTAATCTTGTGGTTTTGTTCAATAAGTGTGTCAGTAGGCTTAACACCCAACTTTCCAGTTTCTTCCAACAAGTTAGGAACATACTTTCTTTAAGAAACAAAAATCCCATGCTTGGACCTAGCCACCTCAATACCCAAGAAGTATCGTAGCTCTCCCAGATCTTTTACCTCAAACTCTTGATGGAGGAGTTGCTTAAGAGACTCAATCTCACTGTTATCACACCCTGTCACTACAATATCATCCGCACATACAGCAAGCAAGGTTAAGGAAGAATCCACTTTCTTAATAAACAAGATGTGGTCTGACTGGGCCTGCATATAACTGAACTTTTCAAGGGCTTGTCTGAATCTATCAAACCAAGCTCTGGGAGACTGTTTTAGTCCATACAAGGCTTTGTTCAGTCGACAAACCTTCTTTCCTGTTTCTACACCATAAAATCCAAGAGGCAATTGCATGTAAACCTTTTTTCTGCAAGTCTTCATTGAGGAAGGCATTTTTAACATCCATTTGAAACAAAGGCCAAGAGTAACTAGCTACAAGAGATAATAAAACTCTGATAGTGGTTATCTTTGCAATTGGTGCAAAAGTCTCCAAGTAGTCAATACCATATGTCCGAGGAAATCCCTTTACAACTAATCGGGCCTTATACCTTTCCATCAGCATTAGATTTCATAGTAAACACCCGTCTACATCCAATCGGTTTCTTCCCTTTGGGTTGATCAGCTATCTCCCATGTATTGTT